ACAGCACTTTGTGAACCTCCATGCGCAGATTTCGTGGCAGGCGCAGCACTTTGTGAACCTCGATGCGCAGATTTCGTGGCAGGCGCAGCACTTTGTGAACCTCGAGGTGCAGATTTTGCGGCAGGCACAGCACCTTCTGAACCTCCACGCGCAGATTTCGTGGCAGGCACAGAACTTTGCGCAGATTTCGTGGCAGGCGCAGCACTATGTGAACCTCCATGCGCAGAGTTTGTGGCAAGCACAGCACTTTGTGAACCTCCATGCGGCACAGCACTTTGCGAACCTCCATGTGCAGAATTCGTGGCAGACGCCGCACTTTGTGAACCTCGAGGTGCAGATTTCGTGGCAGGCACAGCACTTTGTGAACCTCCATGTGCAGATTTCATGGCAGGCGCAGCACTTTGTGAACCTCCATGTGCAGATTTTGTGGCAGGTGCAGCACTTTGTGAACCTCCAGGTGCAGATTTCGTGGCAGGCACAGCACTTGGTGAACATCCATGTGTAGATTTCGTGGCAGGCGCAGCACTTTGTGAACCTCCATGTGCAGATTTCGTGGCAGGCACAGTATCTGGCGACTTTGTAGTACAACTTTAGTATGCGGAGTATATGGGGAGCTGGAAGATGAAAACTGGCGACTTTGTAGTGCAACTTTTAGTACGCGGAGCAATCTGGCGAGCTGGAAGCTGAGAACTGGCGAGTTTGTAGTGTAACTTTAGGTGGAGCTGGGAAGTGGCGACTTTCTAGTACAACTTTAGTACACGGAGTATCTGGGGAGCTGGAAGATGAGAACTGGCGACCTTGTAGTACAACTTTAGTACGCGGAGTATCTGGGGAGCTGGAAGATGAGAACTGGCGACTTTTTAGTACAACTTTAGCACGCGGAGCAATCTGTGGAGCTGGAAGCTGAGAACTGGCGACTTTGTAGTGCAACTTTAGTACGCGGAGTATCTGGGGAGCTGGAAGATGAGAACTGGCGACTTTGTAGTACAACTTTAGTACGCGGAGCCTCTCGGGAGCTGGAAGATGAGAACTGGCGACTTTGTAGTACAACTTTAGTACGCGGAGCAATCTGTGGAGCTGGAAGCTGAGAACTGGCGACTTGGTAGCACAACTTTAGTATGCGGCTGAGTCATCTCTCGCGGCTGCTCTGGCGCCCCTGCAGCTGAGTCATGTCTCCCGACCACCCGGCTCTCTTGAGAGGTTGACAAATTTTAGCTACTTTGCTTACTCAAAAGTGGTCACTTCGATTACTTTCTGGAGACCTCAAAACACGTGTTTTGAGAGGTTGACAAATTTGAGCTAATTAGCTTCGTGTCTAGACAAGCTATCGCATCATAGTTAACGTCTAGCTCCAGTTAGCTTTAGTGGAGCTAGAGCTAGAGCTATGCTTCACTCATCACTCATCACTCATGCGTCTGACTGAGGGACACGCATGGTGGAAAGAACCGGGACACTCCTATAGCTTGATTTTTCTTATAGGAAACTTCCGCCGCGGCGGGCTTGCCCGGGAACTGCTTGTAGTATGGCCAGGAACCCCTAGTAGCGTCCTTGCTCCTAGTAGGGATGCCAGGAGCCCCTAGTCGCTTCTTGTTCCTAGTTGTCTTCTCTCATGGTTGCAGTGCGTGTCGTGTACGAAGGCCCAGCAGCCACAAGCAACCCCGATGCGATACTGCTGCATCGTGAGAAAAATCAGCGTCCCATGTCTCACCAACGGAGTGCTCAAAACAAAAGGAAAACACAACGATACACAAAGTGCATCGTTGTGAGCCGTAGGTGCATCTCTCTGTTCTTACAAGCAGCTTGAAGCTTTAGGCCTTCACAGTCGTGCAGATGGAAGAAAGGAGCCAGGTCTAATGCTTCACACCTCGTCTGGGCTTCCCAGCTGAAGGACGCAATGGAGCTGGAATATCCAGTACTTGGATTCCAGGTCCACCCTGGCGAGTCATGGTGGAACACACACATTGCATACAGAGGGCAATCATACTTTCGTCTTGTTCCTTTTCTTCTACAGTGCAGAAGGCCCTTTCATGAAGCAACGGACGCCAAAAGAAAGTTTCGGGAAAGTCAGATGTCTAAGCCGGCTCCTCTTCCGCACAGTTTATTCGGAGGACACTTGCCTCGATGCATGGCTTCTTCTTTTCAGGTGGAAACTCGAAACCTGAGACTCCAGCTTTCGTCTCGTAAACTTTGGGCGGCCTGTAGAAAGAGCTGCTGTGCAATCACAGTGAGACTGTCTATTTTGATAAACCCTAAACCCTAAACCCCTTTTCACATCTCAACTTCTGTCGATGTCGATCTGTCGAGGTAGCATCCATGGCCTGGACTTTCTTCGACCTGAGCTCCAAGGGAGACATCTCAAGGATTGTCGACGCGATCGAGGCGATGGAGGTGATAGAATTCATGCAAGGCTTGCCCTTGTCGAGCCTTGCTTCTTTCCTTGTTGACCCTCTCCGGCAAGTTCGTCTTCCAACCTGCGGAAGAAAACCATCAAGGACTTCCTCTAGTTGGCCAAACGAAGGCTGAAAGTGTGGAGAGACGCAGAAACTCGTAGAAAACGTGCAATATGGACATGTATGGGCATACATTTGTTGCAAGCTTGGAAATAGATCCGTCTTCGACCCGTTGTCACCTTCTGCGAGGCTGCATGGAGACCACTGCAGTGGCTATGGAGCTCTTGTCGCCTGAGGCAAATGCATTCCCAAATGGCCCAATCTTCGCTGGTGAGTTTACCTGTATGTACATCTCAATGACGCCCAGTCTCAACAAACTGTGCGTCCCTTCATATGAAACAATCGCAGAAACGAGCAAAACGGTCAGTCCAGAATTTTTGACACAGACTTACTGTGCTTACTGGTCCCTGCAAAAGAAACTTAAACACAAAGCCATACAACGTCACAATATCAAACGTAATATCAGACGTTGGAGTGCACAACAAAAGATTTGGAGGCTGGTGCTGTTGATCGCGAAGCTCGCATAGTTCACAGGGCTTCCTCTCACTAGGACTTGGTTCACCTTCTTGGCCATTGCAACAACAATGCTGATTGACGCGTTAGGATTCACAACAAGACCTTGGGCAATCCCCATGATCCCCCTTGCTTTTTGCTGGCAAGCGTGTGTGCTTTTCTAGCGGAAATGGTTGGATCGATCGACCTAAACGGATCGAGGACTGGAGCCTAGGGTGGAAGCAGTGGAAAGATTGGAGAAGCCATTTCATTGTCATTCCTTTGGAGCCTTGCTTTCACCATTATAGACCTCCAAAGAAAAGAAGACTACCGGGTAAAATGATGCAATCATTGCAAAGTTAGCAATGCACCAACCTTTTCACAGCCCGCTCAGAAGCGTCTGCTTTTCAGCTGCTCTGCTCAACCACCATTGCCTCAAAGACCGACCATTGCAATGGGAAAGATTGCACAGTTCACTGGCACAAACTTTCAACCGACCTTCTTCTGGCACGGAAATGGGCCCAACACATCTCTCATCAGAGTATGTTTCATTGGCCGAGAGTGGACTTGAGATGTTTGGTATCAATCCCTCTGAGCCAGGCGCACTCCATCACGTTTTGAGATCCTGCTCTCCGTGTGCAAAGTTACAGTTCTCTCGGGTGCATTGGCCCTTCTGCCAAAATGCGCACATCCGGGTCTTGTAGCCAGAGCTTCCAGGTCCAGGTCCTTCAGGGGGATCTGTGATTGTTCAATCAGAAGCGGGTACCAGCTCTTTGAGAAAGCTGGAAATTGCCAGAAAGGATGGTGTGGAAGATCCGCCGACCCCTGCTTAGCCCTTGCCTAAGCGGGGCGGCGCCAGGCACACCGGAGGGTGGAACGGGTGGCAGTGCAAACGAAAGCCCCAGCATGCCACGTTAAGCAGCCACCCCCGCCTTCGAAGCCCTACTGCGTCGGCATCACTCCTGCACTGGCCAAACAAAGGCCGCAGCTTGGCTCAGAAAGCTTTTTCTCTGGGCTTCCGAAGGCAACGTTAGACACCCACGGGCCCCGCCCGCAAGCGTCCCTGCAGGCCGCAGCTTGGCCCAGAAAGCTTTTTCTATGGGCTTCCGAAGGCGACGTTAGACACCCACGGGCCCCGCCCTCAAACGCTCCTCGGCAGCCGGCAGGCCTGCCGCGGCCTCTCTGTG